AAGGCTGAGGCGGAAGGATCGCCTGAGCCCAGCAGGTTGAGGCTTCAGTGGCCAGGAGCATGCCACTGCACTTCAACCTGAGTGACAAAGTGAGACTCCAACTCAAAACACAAACAAACAAACAAACAAAAAAACCCCAGATATTTTTAAAAAGAAAAAAGAGGTTTTTGCACATTTCGCCTCACTGCCCAGAAAGCTCTCCCTTAATACTCTGAATGATCAGCTATTTATTCATTCATTAGGTCTCATCTCAAATGTTAACTCTCCAAAAAGGCCCTCCCTGTCCATTCAATCAAAATTAGCAACCCCTTGTTTATTTCTCCCATTGTACTTCAAAATCTAAAATTGTTATTTACTTGTTTTCTTACTCTCACTTCCTTCTAAGTATATAGGTTTCATGTGACTTTTTCTGTGTTGTTTATAACTAAATCCCCAGTGCATAGAACTATATCTGACTCATACAAGGTGTCCAAAGTGAATTTAAGTGAATTAATAAATAAAACAATCATACTATAATCATAATTAGAACTGGGAAAAAACTTCAGTCGAAATATATCTACTTAAAATAGAAACTAAGATTTTTTTTTTTTCTGAGTTGGAGTCTCACTCTGTTGCCCAGACTGGAGTGCAGTGGCCGCTCCCGGCCACCGCAGCCTTGACCTGCTGGGCTCCAGCGATCCTTCCGTCTCAGCCTTCCGAGTAGCCGGAATTACAGGCACGCGCTATCACGCCCGGCTGATTTTTTTTTTATTTATAGTAAAGACGAGGTCTCGCCAAGTTCCCCAGGCGGGTCTCGAACTCGTGGGCTCAGGCAATCCACTCACCTCAGCCTCCCAAAGCGCGGGATTACAGGCTGAGCCACCGAGCCTGGCAGAAACTAAGATTTTATAGTAAATAATGAGAGTAAATGGGACTTTTTATCCTGGAGAAAAAATTAAAATTATATCTAAGATTTAGGGGCCCGACCCAGTGGCTCCAGCATGTAGTCCCAGCACTTTGGGAGGCCAAGACAGGAGGAGGACTGCTTGAGGCCAGGAGTTCAAGACCAGCCTGAGTAGCAAAGCAAGACTCCATCACTACAAAAAAATAGATTAGGCCACCCACAGTGGCTCACACTTGTAATTCTAGCATCCTGAAAGGCCGAGGCAAAAGGATTGCCTGAGTCCAGGAGTTGGAGACTAGGTCTGGACAACAAAATGAGACCTCATCTCTACAAAAAAAAAAAAAATCAGAAAATTAGCCAGACATGGTAGCACGCCCCTGTAGTCCCAGCTACTCAGGATGAGGCGGAAAGATCACCTGAGTCCAGGAAGTTGCGGCTACGGTGAACCATGATTGTGTCATTGTACTCCAGCCTGGGAACAGGGTGAGTTCTCAACTCAAAAACAAACAAAGTAAAAGAAAAATTAGCTGGGCATAGTGACAAGTCCATAGTCCCTGCTTCAGAAGGCTGAGGCAGAAGGATTGCCTGGGCCTAGGAGGTCAAGGCTGCAGTGAGTTGTCATTGTGCCACCGTACTCTACCCTGGGCAATGAAATGAGACTCCAACTCAAAAAAAAAATCAGCCGGGCTCGGTGGCTCAACCTGTAATCCCGCGCCTTTGGGATGCTGAGGTGAGTGGATTGCCTAATTCCGCGGGTTCAAGACCCACCTGGGCAGCAAGACCTCATCTCTACAATAAATCAAAAAATCAGCCGGGCGTGGTAGCGCATGCATGTAATTCCGGCTACTTGGAAGGCTGAGGCGAAGGATCGCTGGAGCCCAGCAGGTCGAGGCTGCAGTGGCTGGGAGAGGCCACTGCACTCTAGTCTGGGCAACAGAGTGAGACTCCAACTCAAAAAAGAAAAAAAAAATCTTATAGGCCCTCCATCACCAGGCCCTACTAATTCTAGCATCATTTTATGCCGTTTCGCCCCACACTCTATTACTCTTCACTCACTTTCAGTTTCTATCAATACAAGTCTTCTTTAGTTTTTTTCCATCAGCTTTTTCCAGTTTTAAGTTTCTTCCCCAAGCTGTCCAATTTGCATGGAATGCTATTCTCATTCTCACCTCCTTTAACTAATTAATCCCTATTCGTCCTTCAGATCTCAGCTGATTAAGTAAGTAGGCTCCACACCCTGCACTTCTTCCAACTGTAATTAAACTAATTATGCAATTACTTAAAGTCTATCTCCTCAAGTAGACTGTAGGGACCTGTATGTCTTGGTTATAGCTATCCCCAAGGTCTAGTATTATGCCTAACTCATAAATACTCAATAAATACTTCTTAAATGAAGGAATGAAGATCAGTGGTTTGGGAAACTAAAATGAGTTTTGTGTGGCTGTAGTTTAAAAACCTTCCTAAGCCGGGCTCAGTGGCTCAGCCTGTAATCCCGTGCCTTTGGGAGGCTGAGGTGAGTGGATTGCCTGAGCCCACGGGTTTAAGACCCGCCTGGG